TTAGTACCCCCACCCTGAGAATCGCCTGTCTTTGTTGTGTTCTTACTGAATCTGTGTCTCCTTGCTTTGCTGTACTTTTTTTTTTCTGGTACTGGGGATCGAACTCAGGTCCTTGCGCTTGCAAGGCAGGCAGTGGAACCACTGAGCTAAATCCCCGGCCCTGCTTTGCTGTACTTTTTCACCAGGGAGCAAACTCAGGACCTTGCGCTTGTGAGGCAGGCAGCGGCACCACTGAGCTAAATCCCCAGGCTGCTTTGCCTTCCTCCTCTGCCCTTCCGTCCTCTCCTCCTCCCTCTCGCTGGCTCCCACTCCGTCTCTGGGTCTCGGGATTCTGTGCTGTGAACACTGCCGACAAGCTGATTTGCTTCATTGATTCTTCGTGGGCTTGTTTGTTTGTGTGTCTGAATGACTGGACACCGGCTGTCCTGCTCAGGGGAACGTGAAAGCGTGCTGGCCGTTTTGTAACTAGTCTTGTGCAGTGTGTGTTTCTGGCAGGTAATGGCACCTGGGGGGGCCACAGGTTGCAGATGCGTAACAGAATGAATCCTGAGGCTTAAACCACTGCCAGCTGCCTGAGCTGGTCACTGTGCAGCTAGTCACACAAGCAAGTCACACCTGGCCATCTTCCACCACTTAGCACAAAAAGACGGAGCATAAGGGACAGCCAGGAAGCAGCAACCCTGACCCCTGCACTCGATACCTCGCCATCAGCTCCCTTGGGCCCAGAGACTCCCCTTGAGGGGAGGGGTGAAGGGACATTGCAACTGCATGGCAGTCACTACAGAAGTACAAGAAGGTTGCTTCTCCTAGCTAAAATTTCAGTCTGGAGAAGCAGGGCTTTTCGGCATGCTGGCCGTGGGGCTGGTAGGGGCTGCTCTTTCTACTCCTAGCTCTTCCATCTTCAGGCTTTGCCCTCACCTGCTCCCTGCCCTTTTCCATCCAGGCTTTTTACCTGGGTGTCCTCTGGCTGCAAGGATCCATTTCAGTCGCAACACTCACCAGAGCCAAAATGGGAGTTCTGCTTAAAAGCTGCTTTTGACTACCTGTATGTCCTCTTCACTTGCTCTTAGTGAGCATATCACTGACATCTGACCTCTGCTTCTGTATATCCCAGTTGACTCGTGTGTGTATAAACTTTGCATCGCTCTTAGCAAGTAGCCGATTCATTGAACTTTATAAGGTCTACAGCTTACAAGAGCTTTTGCTTTAACCTCATTAAAATTGCTCCCCCTGTTGCCATCTGTAGTGCTTCAGGGGCCTTCCACAGCGAGAAGCCCCCACCTGAGGTACTGGGATGTGCAGTTCTCCTCGTTGAAAGAGGAAATAAAAGGATAACGAGAACCTCTACATCCAAAATGCACACCTGCTGGCTCCTGGCCATGAACTTGGGGTCCAGAGTCTCTAGATGCCCTTGACTCCTGCCATTCCCAGTTCTCTGGCACTGCCATGACCTCCACTATCACAGCAGAGCCCCAGTCCCCCCAACTCCTGTCCCAACAGGACCAACTCTCCTGTCTTGCAGGTCAGACCGAGATAAGGCTGCAGACAGTAAAAGCAGAGAAGTAGAGTTTGGTGGGAGCTGGACCGAAACCTTTGGAATGGAATCTATGCCAGATTCTTCTGCTAAGTTCTTGACAAAAGATTTAAGATTAAACAAAAGGGCAACAGACAACTGCGGCAGAACAGACTGTAAAGATTCACATATTCCCACAATGCTGCTTTGACCCCTGCTTCAGAGAGACATGGGTCGCTGGGTCCCTGCTGTCACAGCCACTGTCCTGAGGCAGCCGTTGGAGTGAGGCAGCCCTGTCCTGCGTGGTCAAGAGCCACCCTTCCCGGAGCAGTATCTGGAGGTCCTCTGCCTCTTCATTCTCCAGAAAGACAGTGCAGTAGGACAACTGGGAGGCAGTCTATGGATTCTCACACCATCTTGGGAAGATTCTCCCCACCCCGCCCCGGGTGCCCTCTCTGTTGGCTCTGATATTCCCCCAAGCCCATTCCTCAGCCTCCTCCGTGTGGTCTTCAGCCCCCCCAGAAAAGGGATAGTGAGTAATTCCAAAAACAGAAGATTTTATCCTGTCAGATAATATTTCTGATTTGACTCTGAACTTGATTCCAGACAAGATCTCCTGCTAGCAATCCAGTTCCATTCCTATCATCACTGCCAGCTATGCTCTAAGTGTTCTAAAGCATGGCCATTGTCTTCAGCTTTCTATTTGCCCATAGCCTGGAAACACTAGCCCACCTCTGCCTGAGATATGAAAGAATAACCTTATTTCATTTATGCTAATTGCACAAACAAATTAAATTAATTGCCCCAATAGCTCAAAATCTTTGAAAATTATCAAATTCTTATAAAACAGCTGAAAGAATTGGCTGCTGAAAAAATTACACAGTGCCAACCATTAGTAGAGACAGCGCTGGACTAAAAACCAGCCATGTGCTGGGTTCAGAAAGAGTTCTGCTGGCTCCCACAAAAGGGGTGGTGGGAAGGGTCTGCAGGCATACAAGCCAGGTCTCCAGGGAGTCTCACAGCCTTTCTGCCCAGGAAGAGCACAAGTGGAGAAACTATAAAGCCATCCAGAAGAACAAGGGGGACAGCAGGAGGGGGCTAGAGATTGATGCAGCAGTATTTCAGGCTGTAGAGGAATTCAGAATGTGGATCTAAAGCAGAACTCATGCTCAGTGCTCCAAGCAGAGGGGCACATGGCCAGAGGTGCTCAGTGGCAGATGCCAAAGCTCCAGCCAGAGGGCACCAGACTCACTTGGCCACGTAGGGTCACCTGGGCACTATCCCGCTGGGCTGCCGTGTCTCGGTGATTGCTTTCTGATATCATTACGGTGATTGATTTTGGAGGCCAGAGGTCTTGTGAGCAGTTTATGTGAGATGTTAAAGGCAACCCTGCTCCAGTGAGTCAGAAGTGTGCTCTGAACACTACGGCTGTTGAGGTTCAAGAAAAAGTGAGCGTGTGAGTCTGGACTCTTTGGGTGAGGCACTCTGGCAAGTTGTCATTGCCTGGTCTGCGAACTCAGCACAGATGGCAGGGAGCAGTAATCCTCCCTCTGTCTGCTGCCGACAGCTCCTCCCAGCTTCTTGGGAGACTCATCACAAGGACTTTCAGAGTACTAGATATTATTGAAAATAATAAAATAGAAACAAGATGATTAGACCTAAAGCCAAGTATTGAAGTAAAAGAAAATGATTTAAGTAGATGAGATCTTAATGGGAGCTATTAAAACCATCAAGAGAAAAGATAGCTAAGACAAACGTTTAAACATCCCAAAGAAGGATTCTGAATAGTTGAGGTAAAATAAAAGTTTGGTTTTGTTTAAAGGCCAGAGGTGGATTTGGTTGGGCCAGGACCCAGTGAGTTCCCTGACTTGTCTCCATGTTGGTCCCATGCAGATGACCTTCCTGCATTTGCCCAGGGTTCTTAGAAGTAATGGGCAGCTCTGATAATTTTCAGAGTGGAGCTGAGAGAAGTAACAGCCAGGCCCCCTGGGAGCTCTGCCTGACATTATGTGTAGTGCAGATGACTTGCCGCTGGCCCTCCCATCCCCAAGCTCGGCAGATTCCCAGACAGAACTGAGTTCGATAACACAGGGGCAAGAGCAATGGACCAGCCGGAGGGCAGGAAAGTGACCATCATAGGGAACTATCACACACCAATGGAAAGGAGGTTTGGATGCTTTGACAAGAAACTTTTTGTGTGAGTGAGTGTGCGTGTGTGTGTGTGTGTGTGTGTGTGTGTGTGTGTTTATGTTCAATATCATCATTCCCACCAAAGCCTGGGGACCCTACCCCTCCAGGCATGTGGATTGACCTGGCAGCTGATACTCCTCAGGAAGCAGAAACTGAAATCTAGACTGTTTCCTGTAGATGACTAGAGAAGAGTCCCTTTCCCTGTCTTCCCTCACCTCACCCCATATCTCCACCGTTCCTCAAGAAAGAACATCAAACTTTCTATGAGAATTTCTTTTTAAAGAATTTGCTAAAAAACTTGTTACCAAAGAAATGTTTTCAGGCTGGAAGCAAATGTCAAGTTGTGCACATTTTCGTCCTTCAAGCATTCCATTACGTGTTTCCTTGTTTGTACCTTAAAACGGAAATACAAGGGTAACCGTTTGAAAGTGGAGAGTAAAAGCAAAGTGACAGCTTGTAGAAAGAGTTAAGGGTGCCAGCACTCAGGATCAGCCAGGGGCTGCGCTCCGTGTGCTGCGGACCCCAGCAGCAGGTTGTCTTCCCAGAGACAGGCACAAGGACCCGGGAGAGGGTCAGCCCTAGGGTGCCCGCCTGAGCTCCTGCCCCGAAGTGGGTTCGTAGTCACACAAAGACAACAACTTCTTAGGGTGTTGATAAGGTCCTAAATGTTGTTCAGGGCTTTCAAGATGAAAAAGCAATTGCATTATTTCCTGCCTCAGGCCACGGCTCTGCACACCTGGGGACCGACAGCTATGCCAGGCCACGTCCCACCGGAGCCCCAGCTTTGAGAACCAGCCCCTGCTGGAGACGGGCTTGAGGGCCACTTCCTTAGATCCCCCTGTATGATAACTAGAATCCAGCCTTCTCCTATACCAGGAGCCTTCAGCCCCTGGCTCCTTTCCTTACACATCTGGGCAAGAATAAGTAGTCTTTTTCAGCCAGCACCGCTTGGTCAGAGCCAAAGTGCAGACAACGCAGCCCTTGATGTTACTTTAGAAGCCACAGCTAACTGCAAACAAACCTCCGCCCTCACAAGCCATACCCTATAATCTTCCCTCTAATGGGCGTGCGTTATTGAACCCATGACCTTGTGGATTCCTGTTAGACTCGAGGCCAGGAACACAGGCCCATGCATGGCAGTGTCCCAAAGCCTGCTGGGCCCATGCCTCTGTGCTTCCTTCACTCATTCCCTTGTGCCCCCGCCTTCCGCTGTGTCCTGTGTTACCCAAGACCCAGAACACCGGGCACCTTCGTTGGAGACTCATTACAGTTTATCTCTGTCTGCCTTTCTTTAAAGCCAGCTGAACATACCCAATGCTCTCCCTCTATGGTAAGACTGACCCTCCCGACCATGCCCCCAGCCTCTGTGACCCCACTAACACCCCCACTCTCACCCGCCCCAACTTCCAGGGTCTCATGGGAGCCCAGCCTGGCTCCTGTTGCATGCGACCACCATGTCCATCGTGTGCCTTGCCTGCCCCTGCCCGTGTGAGCTGTGAAGGGCTGTGTGCGTAACAGTGCTCTCATACCTCTCTGAGCTTTCTTTGGGTGGTCATGCACTGTGATCTTGACTGTCTGATGAGCCACTGGGAGAGAATTGGACCCTTTCCTGTTAAATATCCCAAGGACTTGCTAGGTAAAGTCTCTGGGCTAAGTCTAACTGGGGAATGGGCAGAGGGTGCTTGTGAAAGCTGAGGTAAGAGCCTCCAGGGAAAGGAGCAGTAGATGACCCAGCCAGGAGTCAGAAAGGCAGACGATGACTTCCAGCTAAGCAGTGTTCGTGACTACCAGCCTTCCTTGGGCCACAAGTGTAAAGCCACTGTAAAAGATGTAAATTGAGACTCGTTACTGAGAGGGTGGGAAAATTTCTCTCTCCACCCATATGATCCTTTGCATATTTCTAAATTTCTAAAGTGGTACCCACTTTTCTGCAGCAGGCTGGAAGCAGGAAAACAAGCTTAATTAATTGACCCACTCCTCATATTGGAGTCCAGGCTCTCCTCTGGGAAGTGGTAGAGATGCAGTGTGACCTTGAAGTCTCCTTGAAATAGCCTCCTCTAAAAGGCTGCCTTCATACACTTCAAACTGGGCTAAGTGTGAGTTCTTAGAAAGACCAGTGGGTTGATTCCCTGAGCCCCCAAAATCTTGAAGACTGGAGGAGAGACTGGATGGATCAGAGGTGACTCCCAGCACAACCTACCCCCACTTGACCAAAAGGCTGGCCGTGGATAGCCTACCACGCTTCACAGGGACAGCCACTCCCTTCCTTATTGCATTGGCACTTGGATTGTTAGAAGAAATCGTCCTGCCCCCGGTGGCCATGTGGCTCTCCTCCTTCCAGGGCAGCATCGGGAAACTGGAAGGGCTCTGAAGAGAGGCTGAGTGGAGTTCACACCGCAGCTCCACTTGTGGGTCTGTGGGTGCTTCTGGATGTCCCAGGGGACCAACTTCTCAAACTCCTGGTGCCCACGGCCAAAGCCCACGCTTAAGCTCATTCTTTCTTCTCGTCTCCTCTCCTGAACACAATGGATTTGACAGCCAGGTTATAAACCCTGAGCCTCCTCTGCCTGCTCCTCTGGGAGAACAGTGCTGCTTCTTAGGAGAGAAAGTGGAATCCCAAGTAGATACACCGGTGACAGAAATACAGAGGCTTTAGGGGCATCAAAGACTTCAAGCACAAAAGGACAGAATAAGGGTCACTGCCTGTGGCTCCCTCCCCAGGCCGCCAACACCTGTCTGTCTGTCCCCTGCTTTGAGGGAACATTAGCCCTAGGAGGAATGGACACAGCTCCAATTTTGAAATATAAGAAATATTTCTCCTCTTACCTGACCAGAGGTTTGGAGAAGCAGGTGTGATGCCCTGGCATGGTTTCAAGCTGCCCTGCCCGGGGGTAGGCTGGGGTTGTTGATCTGTGAACTCCACCCCAGTGGTCCTGCTGCCCCTGGGTCCCCTGCTCTGAGTAGTTGTGAGGTGAGTGGCCCCTAAGCCATCCAGCTGCACCAGGGAGTCTCAGACTGCAGAGTTAGAATTGAGTGGGCTGCGGGGAAGATGCAGAGAGGTGTGGCTGCTGGCAGGGAGGCCTGATCTGGAAACAATGTAAAAGAAAGCAAGAGAACAAGTGAAGCAGAGAGGGCTGAAGTGGACCCCCAAACAACCCGGGGGCCCCTCCTTTTTGAGGGGTGTGGGATGGGAACAGTAACAGGAACCCAAGGGTCCGTTCTCTCCCAGTGCTGGCAGGGCTGGGTGAGCTGCACTAGCTCTGGGGAGGGGTGGGATCCCCCTGTGCCCCCCAGCTCTCTGGCCCTGCAATGCAGAAGCCAGCCCTGTGGGCAGGGGGGGAGGTCTGGTTCTTGTTCTTAGGCCTGGAGGTAGAAGGTGACGGTCAGCCTGTCCTTCCCCCAGAGTCTTGGCCCACTCGGTGCTGAGCCCCCAGTCAACAAGCAGTCCTCCAGCAGCCAATCCCACCTCAGCTTGCTGCGGCCTCGACACCATCCGCTCTCTTCCCTTTCCCTCCAAGACTCCACACGAGGAGAGGATCCACATGAGCAGGACCCGTGGTCGCCCCATGCTGGGACCCAAAATTTTCTAGGGCTCACTGCAATTGATACAGCCCCTAGCTCCCCTGCCCTGTCTGTGCCCCTGGAGAGGGTTGGAGCCTCCTGGTGGGCCCAGGACAGAAGGAGACAGAAGGGCACCAGCCTCTGAGCCTTCAAGGAAGGACAGGGCTGCAACCCAGACACTCCTCTGGCATGGAACAACACCACGTTTTCCAGCCCTCCCCTGTGGCACTCGGGGCAAGGGCTGAAGAAGTCAGAGGTGACTCAAGAGAAGTGCTGGAGTCCACAGCAGCCAGAGAGGAGACCCCTCCAAGGGTCAGTGCACCCTGCCTGAGACCCCCAGAGCAGTCGTGCCACCAACGGGGAGGCTGCCATCAGCCACCCAGGCTCCTTGCAGAGAGCCAGGTCCCACTCAGGGCACAGGAGCCTCAGCCAGCCCAGCCAGGAGAGCCGGTGGGCTGCTCCCTCACACCCAGGGGCAGCTCCCTAGAGAATGTCCGTGGCCCTACTCAGGGCATCACGAACTAGAAATGAATGGGAGCAAGCGGGACAGGAAAACGGCCACAGGCCCTGGGCTTGGGCACCATCTGGCTCATGGCTGGGCTGCTGACCAGAGAGGGTGACACTTAGCTCCCACCTTCGCACCAGCGAGGGGGACGGGCGGAAACCATCTAGTGCAGCTGACTCCCACCCTGGCCTGCCTCCCCTCAGCCACAGCTGTGTTTCTCAGAGCGCCCTGTCCCTTCCTGCCCACCCCTCTCTTGCTGTGTTAACTGCACCTCCTGTTGCCAATGGCTTCCAGAACGCAGAGGAAAACTCCCGCATCTCCATCACCTTCTTCCGCCTCTTCCGGGTCATGCGCCTGGTCAAGCTGCTGAGCCGCGGGGAGGGCATCCGGACACTGCTGTGGACCTTCATCAAGTCCTTTCAGGTAGCCAGCGCCGCCTCCCCCTGTGTACAGCTGGCAGGAGGCCACCTATTGGGCCACCCGGGCTCCACTGTGCTGCTGCCCCTGGGGCTGCCTGGACGGGAGCTGTCATGGGCAAGCAGCTCCAGGATTTCGAAGCCTGGCTGGCTCTTTCTCCTTGCCTCAGGAGCTGTGTGACAGCAACTTGATTTCCTTTGCTGTGAAGTAAGAGGGTAAAACTAGACCCGCGGTTTCAAAGCTGGCTGCTGGCGCCCCATGCTGCCCCCAGACGCGGGGCTCAGAGGGGAAGGAGGGGAGGACCGGCTGAAAAGGTTTTGCTTCCTCCTCTCGTTTGTGTACTAGACCAAGGGATTTTGTAGGAATGGAACAAATTGGGAAAACATGGGCCTAGATCATCAGCTAACCTCTCCAGTCCCCTCCAATGCCAGCCTTTTGGGACTTGCATGACATGTGTTTCGGCCACGTCTACTCACCCTACCTGCGTATGTCCCTGGCCCATTCTCGGGACTGTGGTGTCACTCCACTGCAGGGGAGCGGTCCCCTCATAGGGCACAAGATTGCCTAACCACATGATTAATTCCATCTTCTCCCCCATGGTTCTCCATCTGTAAATACAGAATCCCCATGGCCCCTGGACAGCTCTGAGGAGCATTATGTAGGTGTGAAGTTAAGGGAAGCAAAGCTGTGAGGTCACTTGGATTCCTCAGAGGTGACTGTAGAGACCCCCAAGTATGTTCCCCAGACCTGGCCCAGGGGCAGGTTTCTCTCCTCCGATGCAAATACCACTCCAGACTTCCCAAGACAGGGGCCAACCCTGAACAGTGGCTTCTGTGTTCCCCGCCCAGGTGGGTCCAGGCCTCAGACAGGGAATGGAGTCTGTCTCTGGGCCAGGGGCCCCCACAGCAGCTGTGGCTGCAGCCAGAGGACAGGTGCTCCAGGCCCCAGTGCTTGCCCTGTTTGGAATTCCTCTCCAAAGGACACCCCCCAAACAGGGCCACCAAGGGTCTTTGGGCACCAGCAATCAGCCCACATCCTGAACCCCATGCTCTTCCAACCAGGCCAGGCTGACTCCCCACTTTCCAATGGGCTGGGGCTCCTGCTCCCCCAGGTCCCTGGTCAGCCCAGAGGCAGACTGTGGAGGAGCCTTGAATGTGGAGCCCAGTGCCACCACCAATCTATCAAATGGTCTTACAGCGCCATCTGGTGACTTACAGTGCTTCCAGCAACACATCTCCTTAGGGGCACCAATGCCCAGCTCCCTTAGCCATGGCTCTAGAAAACTAAGTCATCCGAGCTGCTAGACAGATAGCATGTGAGTGAATAAAATGTATGGAACCCTACTACACATGAGCTATTGCATTCAGCACTTTAAAAACCTTAAATCATTTAAACACCAGAAAAATCCCTGAGAGGTCATTAGTATTGTTCCCATGTTTCAGAGAGGAAACTGAGGCTCGGAGAAGTTACATCATATGCCCAAACTCCCATAGCTAGAAAGTTCGAGGATAAGCCAGGCGTGGTGGCCATGCCTGTAGTCCCAGCACTCAGGGGGCTGAAGCAGGAGGGTCACTGTGAGTTCGAGGCCAGCCTGGGCTACGTAGTGAGACACTGTTCAAAAAACCAAGAAAAAAAAAGTGATAGAATTTGAGCTCGTTACCTTTTACATTTCTCCTTATTAAATGTTTCATGGCACCAGTAACACTTTCCTCATTCAACTAGTGGAACAAGGGTAAGCCGTGTGAAGAAAGAGTATGAGCTGCCTCTGCCCCACTCCTCCCCAGATGACTCTGCTCCTTGCACCAATACGTGCCAGGGGAGGAGGTTCTGCACCCTCTTGGCTGTACTCACTGAAGTAGCATCACACTGCACCCATGAATCTGCAGCCCACTTTTAAAAGCAGACCAAGGCTGGCTGTAGCTCGGTGGTAGAGCACTCGCCTAGCGTGTTCAGGGACGGAGTTCCATCCCCAGCACTGCAAAAATTAGTGAAAAGCCAAAAGGAGAGCCCAGTGCCCATTTCTCAGGCTTTCTCCACTGCTGTGGGGCTCTTGGCAATGTACCCCCCCGCCCCCCGCCAGGGCCAGGCAGCAGCTGCTGATGGCTGTGGAGCCAGGGACACTGTGCTTTCTTGAAAAGGATGTGGCCAGCCTGGCCCCTGGGCCTCATGATGTCCCCTGTGCTTCCTTCTAGGCCTTGCCCTATGTGGCCCTTCTAATAGTGATGCTGTTCTTCATCTACGCCGTGATTGGCATGCAGGTAGGAGGACACACACACACACACACACACACACACACACACACACACTGAGCCCCTTTGCCTCCTATTGCATCTCTCCCCAGCTCCTAGCACCACATTCCCTGCCACCCTGCCCTCTCTCTTCTCACTCTTGTTCCTGACTATTCTCCAAGATCACAGGAACTTCCACAAATGCAGACCCTATAGGTAACCGGGTGAATGGCCATGGGTGGGCAGAAAACAAGGCTCAGAGAACTCTCCATCCCCAGGGCCCTAGGCCTGGCTCCTGTAACTGGTGGAGAGAGAGAGAGAGCGAACGCTCCAGCATGAGGCAGTGGGCCTCGGGAAAGAGCAGCCCTACTCAGAGACAGCAGGAAGGCCCATGTCCATAGCTGATTGGCCTGAGAATCCCCCACACCCAGTGTCACTCAGAAGGAGCAAGTGACAGAGGGAGAAGGAAGAGTGAGGGAGGACGCTCTGCCCCAGTACACATGTGGCAGTTCGATGGGACCTGCCCTTACAGGTGCCCACTGCACCTGTCCCTCTGGAAACCAGACTTCAGCCTCTTCAGTTCTCCAGCTGAGCACCCCAAGGCCAGACTGCCAGCACCCCACCTCAGCTTTGCACAGGAGCCAGGAGCTTTTCCTCAGCATCTCCTTGAGTAAATCTCCCTGTTTGCTCATTCCAGAAGGACCCAAAGGTTCAAAGGCCAAAACCTTTTGAGATTAAAAGAGCTACCCTGACCCCTAATAAAGGGAAGCAGTTTCTTGGACAAGCATGATTTTAAAGACCCAGGGGAAAAGGAAGAGGCCTCTGACTTTAGGGATGGGTTAAGCTTGTCCAAACTCTGAAACACCCATCCCACTCCACTTCAAAATCCAAGAAACCAAATTTGGAAAGAGCGTTTGAGTTTATAGAGCTGAAGTAGCAGAAAAAAAGAAACAAAGACCAGGAGCCCAGTGTCCCTGCCTAGAAGGGAGGTCATGGTCTTGGCATCCACTGCTCTCAGCCCCAGTCCCCCAGGCTGTAGTGACCCTTCCTGAGAGCGATGGACACACTTCTTCTTACAGGTCTCTGCAGTAGGTATGCCAATCAATCCCCTTTCTACCACTGTGATAAAATACCCAAGAAAAACAACTTACAGAAGAAAAGGGTTATTTTGGCTCACAGTTTCAGAGGGTTCAGTCCATGGTCTGCTGGTTCCATTGCTTTTATTCTGCCTGGTGAGGCAGAATCATCATGGCAGAAGAATATGGTGAAAGAAATCTGCTCACCTTATGGCAGTCAGGAGGCAGAAGGAGATGGAAAGAACCTGACAGCAAAGGGCTGGAAACCAGATATAATCCCCAAGGCTAACCCCCACTCCCTTCCACTAGGCTCTACCTCTTATTCCCACCACCTCCCGATAATGCCAACAAATTAAAGAGTCCGTCAATGGATTAATCCACTGATGAAGATAGAGCCCTCATGAGCCAGTCACCTTCTGAAAGACCTACCTCCGAACACATGAGACATTGAGTGACATTTTAGATTCAGACCATAATAGTGAGGAATTGTAATCCAAGGCAGGAGGGTAACAAATGTCTGACAGGTCACATTGGGAGACTGTTAGGTGGATAAACCAGTCCCAGAATCACTGCAGACCCTAAAGAGACCATTGAACAATGGTTGAAAATGAGGACCCTCTTTCTTCATGGGTCACTGAATTCCTCTTCCTTCTGTCAGGTGTTTGGAAAGATTGCCTTGAATGACACCACCGAGATCAACCGGAACAACAACTTTCAGACCTTCCCCCAAGCCGTGCTGCTGCTGTTCAGGTGGGTCTCCAAGGACACAGTACACACACACATGGTATCCCTATGATCCGGGTGTGGGAGGGGTGGAACTGTCTTCAGGCGGGCAGGAAGGGAGAGAATGGGTGCTTGCTCTCCCTCCCCTAACTGGGAAGCTGTTTGTGCCCTTGTTATTTGTGTCACTTGCCATGAGCAACCCAATGGACACTGCTGGTAACCACCCAAAGCCATCAAGGTATCAAAAGTCAGCTAGTGGAGTCAGGTGTGGTGGCACAGGTCTGTGATCCCAGCACTCAGGAGGCTAAGGCAGGATTGTGAGTTTGAAGCCAGCCTGAGCAATTTAGCCAAACCCACCACAAAGTAAACTTTTTAAATGCGCTGGGATATAGCCCAGTGGTGGGGTGCTTGCCTAGCATATGGGAGGCCCAAGCAAGGTTCCATCTGGCTTGGAACTTGAATAAGCTCAAGGCCTGGGTTTGAAACCACGAGCCACAGACTCCTCATAAAATAAGCTGAGGTGTTGCTCACTATGCAAAGGTGTGTTCTATCCACTGTGTGGGCTGGTTATATCCTCCCACACCTAGGTTTATCCTCACTGAAGCCAGGCTTTCGTCCCACACTTTTTGGAAAGCCACTGCCTCAGGAATGACCGGGATTGGGGGTGCTGTCACACTGCCCCAGAGTGGGTCCATGCCTAGCCTGCTCCTTCTCTCTCATCTGGCTCCTTTCTCATCTGCCTCTGATTTCCTCTCACTTTCCTGCTTGGCGCAGCTCAGCATTCTGGGGCCCCATGTATTCCAGGGCTGGTTGGTGAAAATGATTCCCTCTTCCTAGCCCTGGAGCAGATGGTTTCTAAAGTCCATTCTAGCTCGTATATTCCACGCACTGTGCCACTAGGAGAGCCAGTGGGCCCTCTTCTATTTCCTGGAGCCCCTTTCCAGAGGGCCCAGGGCCCCTCTGTCAGACCCCCACCTTCACCTTGCTCCACCCCTTTGCCCCACCCAAGCTCCAGTATTATTATTGCTCACAATACATTATATCCCTAAGCATACCAGCCTGACATACCCACTTGCCTGAGATTATAAACTGTCAGAACACAAGGCCATTGTAAACTGCTTTTTAACAACACTTGCGCTTGGACCACATTTACATTTGTGATTTGGACACAGGTCTTAGACTGATCACATGGACCTATCTCCCCTCCTTTCCTAAAGTCTTTGATGACAAAGGAAACTTTCAAAAGAATAAATCTATAATAGCACTAAGAATAGAAACAAACAAGCAAGAGTGCTACAGGTGAGCCAGAAATACTGAGAAATTTCTAAATGTAAGAAAGCAGATGAGGGCCGGGGATGTAGCTCAGTGGTTTCGCCGCCTGCTGAGCAAGTGCAAGGATCCAAGTTCGATCCTCGGTACCAAAAGAAAGAAAGAAAGAAAGAAAGAAAGAAAGAAAGAAAGAAAGAAAGAAAGAAAGGAGATGAGATCCAATTCACAAAGCCACAAGGTGAGAGAAAACCCCCAGGCAAACAGGGTAGGACCCTGGAAAGAGGAAGAGAAGGACAGGGCTTCTCCAAGTGCAGATACAAGGCACAGGAGAGGTCGAGGCCACAGCCCGGGCCCCTGGTTCCACAGAGACTTGCATTTGGGGTGTGTTTGCTAATGCTCACAAGCTGGAAGCCACAGCACCTTACAGTCACACTCGTTTGGTATTGTGGGGTCTGAGAGGCACAGCAGGGTCCCCCAGGAAACCTACCTTCAAAGGGAAGTCACCTGCCTCCCCTGCCTGGCCTCTCCTCCATGATCCCCAGGGAGGCGCCTGGAATGAGGACTTTATCCAGAGAAATGTAAACTGGGCTCAGTCACCAAAACATTCAAAAACAATCCCAAAGTATTTGGAGGAAACCAACACGAAGAAAGAGCGGTATCACACTCAGTCAATACACAAGGAGGAAAAGAGCTGCAAGATTTGAAAACAAAAATAATTCACATCTTTAGAGAACATGACATCTGTTAAGTTACATGCGGAATCAGCAGCAGCAGCCATCATTAAAAAGAGCAAAGTTTACTTGGAGAAAAAAAATACAGTGGTTGAAATATTTTTAAAAAGCAGATGGGGATGAATAGCAGAATAGATACAGCCAAGAATGGATTAATGATCCAAAAGGTCAACCAGGGAATTCTCTCTTTATGTAACCAAAGGAAAAAGAGATAGAAAATATGACATAAAAGTTAAGATGTGAAGGATAGAGTCAGAAAAATCCTACCTGGGTAATAGAAATTCCAGAGGAAAAAAAAAAGGAAGAATGGAGAGAATGGAAAAAAAAAAAAGGAATTATCAAATAAAATGTCAAATAAAGAGAAGAGCCTTCAGGTTGAAATGACCTACTAAGTGCAGAATAGGTTAATAAAACAAAATTTTTTTTCCCGGTACCAGGGATCAAACTTGGGACCCTGTGCTTGCAAGGCAGATGGTGGAACCACTGAGCTAAATCCCTGGCCCTAAAAAATATTCTTAACTGTACATATTAGGAAGACATTTGAGAATACCCAGAATAAAGAAAATATCCTAAAAGCTTCCAAAGTGGATAAACAAACAAATTGAAAAAGGGAATACTTTTAAACTGCTTTTTCCAGGCCAGCATTATCATGATACCAAAGCCAAAGATGCTATAGGAAATGAAAACTACAGACCAATATCCCTGATGAACACAGATGCAAAAGTCGTAAACAAAATACTACCAAACTAAATTCAACAGTACATTAAAAGCATCGTTCACCTTAATCAAGTGGGATTTAAATCTGGAATCCAAAGATTGTTCAAATCATGCAAATCAGTAAATGTGATGCAGCACATTACAGAATGAAGGACAAAACCACATGATCATCTCAACTGACACAGAAAAGGCATTTAACAAAATTCAACAGCCAAGGGCCAGGGATTTAGCTCAGTGGTTCTGGCACCTGCCTCACAAAGCACAAGGTCCCAAGTTTGATCCCCACTACCAAAAAAAAAAAAAAAATTCAACAGCCTTTCAGAATAAAAACTCCAATAAATTATACATTGAAGTCAGGTACCTCACCATATTAAAGACCATATATGGCTCTTAAGTGAAATAAATAGGACACACATGTGCAAATACCAAATAGTTTCTCTAGTGTGAGAAACTGAAAATGTAAATAAGGACTAAAAGGTATAATAGATAATGTGAAATAGGAAGAAAAGGGGCAAAGGGGAAGGGGAAGTGGGAGAGGCAGGGGAAAGGAAAGAAGGGAATGGAATTAATATGAGAAAATGGAAACAAAGTCTTTGTAAATAGGGACAGATGGAGGGGTTGAAGGGAGGGCAGGGGAAGGGGGAAAAATAAGAACCAAGAGAGATTATGTAAAGGTGCAAATTTCCAATGATGAATGCCATTATATTGTATACCTAAAATGTATCGATAAAATAAAATAAAATTTTTAAAAGACCATATATGTAGAGCCCAAAGCTAACATCCTACTGCGTGGTGAAAAGTTGAAACCTTTCCCTCTAAGATCAGAAACAAGACAAGGATGCCCACGCTTACCACGACTCTCCAACATACTACTGAAAGTTCTAGCCTGAGCAATTAGACAAATAAAAGATGCCCAAGTAGGAAAGGAAGAAGTAAAATTATCTGTTTGCTGATTATATGATCTTATATATAGAAGATTCTAAAGAGTTCACCCAAAACCTAGTCAGTAAAGTTTCAGTTTACAAAATGAGTAGCACTTTTTTACTCTTAACAACACTGTAAGAGAAATTAAGGAATCAATCCCATTTACAATAGCACATAAAAATAAAATTTAACCAAAGAAGTGAAAAATCTATATACTGAAAACTATAAAACATTCATGAAAGAAATAGTTGACGAGACAAATTGATGGAAAAGTATCCTATGTGCATGGATTGGAAGAATTAATATGTTACAATTTCCATACTACCCAATGTAATCTACAAATTCAATGCAATCCCTACCAAAGCTCCAATGTCATTTGTCACATGAATAGAAATAAAATCCTAAAATGTGTACAAGACAATAAAATACCTTAATTAACCAAAGCAATCTAGAATTTAAAAAGAATAAAGCTGGAGGCATTACACTGTCTGACTTCAAAATCCATTACAGAACTGTAGTAATCAAAACAGCATGGTAGTGGCATAAAAATGGGCACATTGACCAGTGGAACAGGATAAAAACCCCATAAATTTAGTACCCTGTTTCCTCTAAAATAAGACTTACCAGAAAACAAGTTCTAGGATCATTTTTTTTTCTTTTTCTTTTTTTTGGTACTGGGGATCAAATTCAGGACCTTGCATTTGCAAGGCAGGTGCAGTACCACTGAGCTAAATTCCCAGCCCTATGGTATGATTTTAGAAGAGGCATCCCCTGAAAATTAGCCCTATTGTGTCTTTTGGAGTAAAACCTATTAACACTTAGAAGAAAATATATAGTTTATAGCCTAAAAAATTGTAAAAAAAAAAAAAAAAAGATATCCAAAATCTTAATAACAATTTGAAAGTAAAATCCCATATTACTTAAACAAGGTAGAAAGTGAGGTAGTAAAAAAAATAAGAAACATGAAACTATGCTAAGATTCTTTTCTTGTCTGGGAAGAAGAAATGGATATTGTATAATTCTATGTAACTAAGCAAAAATTGTGTATAAATACATGTGTTAAATATTTAAAGACTAACAACTAGAGAAATAGAAATGCAATGTGGACATTCCAAACCACTAAAAGAGAAATGTGGGCAAATAAAACCTTAATAATTTACCAAAAAGAAAGAAGGCAAAAGTTAAAATAAATTAAAAAATAAATGTGGAAATTAAGACAACAAAATAAGAAGAATAAAAATATATATATAATCACTAGGAAATTAAATGAGTTAAATTTCTCCATTAAAAATTAATACTGTAACAGTGGCTTTAAGAATTCTAACCCTGGCCTATTTATAATAGAGACAGTAAACAACATGACCCAAAAAGAATGGAAATAAAGGG